TACATTGATTTTTATAGATGGAGAATTCCTTGCTGGTTTCAGAGCCAAATAGACCTGTTGCTGTGGTAATACATGTAAATCTGCATCTTATGTACTCTTCGTATTAGCCATGCAGGTAGTTAAAAGAGGCATATGGTTGTTTTATATATTTTCCTAATTAAGTTCAAGACCAATCAATTAAATAGAATTTTTTTTTTCATTTTTAATCAGGTAAATGTCAAATATTGCATATTAATATATGATATTTATCATCTACAGCCAGCAGTTCGAGTGCTAGGTTAACCTGTGTTGTGACATGCTGCTATCCATTAATTCTGTTTGTGTTAGATAGCGTGTCCCCCACTACGTGCAGTGGTTTCTCCTGCAGGCATTACAGAACACAGTGGATGTGATGCATAAGGTAGACTGAAGCTCAGCGCTGGTCATAGCTTTTAGCAGTGAAGGGTTTGACATTATTTTATTAAACAATAACAAAGAAAAAGAAAGATTGGGGGTTTTGGCACCAAAAGACAAGTCCAATAAGCTCCAGACAAAAAATTTTTTTAGATAAAAAGTTAATTTAATGGAATTCATACAAAAAGTTTAAAAAACAACAATTGATGCGTTGGAAGTAAAAGGACACACAACTTAGAGAGAAACCTCCTAACAGCCCCTAGGTTCCATATTAGAGGCTAAATTACATGATCAAGAATCTGTAAGCATGATTACTGGATAATACAATATATATACACAGTTACAATTCATGTGAGGATATTGGTAGGAAGAAACCTCTAATGGAACCAAATTGGTGGGTGGTGATGCGTTACTTGCAATGCTCAATGGAAAAGCAGTACTCGCAATGCTCTACGCGTTTTGCGCTGCAGGGCGCTTCGTCAGGAGAAGGAGGTGGTCTAGAAGTCATACAAAAAGAGACTATAAGTACTCCAACATTAGTCATACAAACAATAAAATATCAATATTTTATCAATATCAATATCATCAGTGTGAGATCAGCAAGTGCACATACACAGGCGTCGAACGGACCATGGAGGGCCACATATTCCCAGTGTGAGGAGGATGGAAATAACAGGTCAGGGCTGTTCTTAAGGGATGCTGGTGATATAGTGATGGAAGACAGTGGCTCATAATCAAGATTTATCTAGGATAAAGCACACATGTATAATGTAGGAGAGAGGAAATATAGTGCCAAAAAAGGCCTTATTAATTATGTCAGCCAGGCATTGTTAGGCAATAACGCCTACATTCAGTAAACAGGATATAACTGGGAACTAAGGTAGTGTATATAGCTGAAAAATAAGCAGCAACATATTTCATGGAAAAAAAAAATGTTGTCTGGAGCTTATTGGATTTGTCTTTTGGTGCCAAAAAACCCCCCAATCTTTCTTTTTCTTTGTTAGTTACTTAACCAGCACCTAGCTATTCAGAATCTAGGCACCACAACCATCGTTTGTTCATTATTTTATTAAAGTGGAAAGCCTTCTAGAAACACTTAGGCTGATGTCACACGAATAATGCAGCTGCAACAGAATCAACTGGGAAAGGCCTCCACTTATCTCTATGAAATTGCTCCCTCTCTGGCCCAGAACAATGCCCAATCTCTATTGCTAGAAATGGGGCAGCAAGGCAGCATCATCTTGCTGGTCCAGCTAGCAAAGGGAGTGATTTCATTAAAACAGGTAAGTGATAAGTTAGCGTTCCTGTCCCTAGTAAGCTATTGCCAGCAACAGAATCTCCCATGTGATGTCAGCTTTAGAAAGCTTGGAATAATTCTGCTGTGTTCTATTACAGAGGACAGTGAATGAGCACCTAAATGAACCTGTAAGCATATCTGAATGGTTATGTATATATTCAGTCTGCATGCCTGTCAACTATTCATGTGACTAATTATTTTTGTTAGTCTTAGTCAACAAATGTAATCATATTTAATCAATAAAAATGTAGCTGACTTTTACATTAGTTTTACAATGTTTTAAAATGTGGAAGAATGTGTCACAGCAAACAGTTGTTAAAAAGTAAAACCATGCAATGTCAGAAGTTAAAAACTATATATTATCTTTCAGCAGTAGAGTGTATTTTTACACATGGAGGCTGATTACAGAGTGGTCGTAATAGGTTTCATCACAGGTCCACATCAAGTTATGATCTAATATGCTTTTATGTCAATTTACAAACTTGGTTTTAGGACTATAATTCACAAATTTGGCTGGAGCTTCATCTTAACAGACAGGTGTCCGTTGGACACAAAGGAATGTGCTGGTCAAGAGACTATCAGCAGGAGGAAGAACAGCAGGAGCAAGAACAGCAGGCATCTCACACATCTGGTCCAATGCAGACCATCACTGGAGGGGACCAGGGTAACATGCAGAACAACAGCAATGAAGACACTATTTAGGTGGTCTCCATAAATAAATAATGGGAGCCTTAAGACAGACCACCCTAGAGAGGAAAATGTCTGTGGAGAGCTTAAGAAAACAACCCAAGAGCAAGGTTCCAAGAAGATTCTAAAAACCAGATGGCAAAATGGTTATGTATTGATGGACAGTCTTATCTTCTTAGAGATCAAACTGAACCAAGCAGAACTGTCTCTGTCACTGTTAAAAGGCCATACCTAATACTACCTCCTCGTTTGATAAAACATTTTAGCTTGTTTAAAACAACGCTCACATATATAATAGCCTCCTGGGGTATATGAAGGGGATATCCCAAGAAGTTGCAGGGACAAGTCATTCTCGCTCAGGCATGAATGGCGGTGGGGTAGCCCTTGGATACCCTACACAATTCAGAAGCTGCTGGATCTTTAGTGCAATTATTTGTGTATCGTCTTCACAATATTGCCCTCTGCTGCAGACTGATGCTTTTTCTGCTGATGACATTCTGAAATTACACAAATACCGTGAACTTCTTTCAACTTTACTTTTAAACAAGGCATAAATGTCCAAAGCAACGAGCAGAGTCCCAGATATAAGAAATAACGCTTCAACCTCCTAGCATCCAAAAATAAGCAAGAAAAAACTTCTCC